CCTACGACATATTTCAGGTGTTTACTGCCCCTCCTCTCCTCTTCTCTCCTCTCCTCTCCTCTCCTCCCTTCTCCTCCTCTGCTCTCCTCTCCGCCCGGTCTCTCCTCTCCTCTCCTCTCCTCTCTTCTCCTCTCCCCTCCCCTCCCTTTCTCCCTTCTTCTCTCCTGAACTTTCCCCTCCCCTCCTCTCCTCTCTTCTTCTCTCCTCTCACATGCGAGTAGCGACCGCTCGGTGATGTCGACGAGGGAGCAAAAATCATCGCGAGAGCTCTCGCGGAGATGATGAAGGAAAAAGAAGCCCCGTTAGTTGTCTTCCGCAATGCAGGCAACTCTCTCTCTCTCTCTCTCTCTCTCTCTCTCTCTCCTTCCTCACTGCCTCCTCTCCTCCTCCTCTCATCATCCTTCTCCTGCTCCTGCTCCTGCTCCTGCTCCTGCTCCTGCTCCTGCTCCTGCTCCTGCTCCTGCTCCTGTTCCTCATCCCCCCCCCCCCACCCCGCTGTGTCTCTCTCTCTCTCTCTCTCTCTCTCTCTCTCTCTCTCTCTCTCTTTCCACGTCCCGTCTCTCTGCCACTCGCTTCCTCTCCTCTCATCTTCCCAGCAGACGCCCTGCACCTCCCCTGGCTCTCCTACGGTCGGGGCATGTGGGGGCCAGTCAACGGCCTCGCCTACCCGAGGAGCGCAAGGGTGCGAGAGAGTTTCAGCGACGCCATGCAAGAGCTGCAGGTCCCGACGCTCGAGACGTTCCCCCTCTCCGCTCCCAGGTATGTTCCAGCTGAGAGGGAGGACGGTGACGACCCAAGCAGGGCAGATCAGACGCACGATGGGCTGCACTACTTCGGTGAGAAGAGGGAGGGAGGGAGGGAGGGAGGGAGGGAGGACAGAGGAGGGAGGGGAGGTAGGCAGACGGTGGAGAAGGAGCAGGAGCAGGAGCAGGAGCAGGAGCAGGAGGAGGAGCAGGAGCAGGAGGAGGAGGAGGAGGAGGAGGAATGATGTGTTTGGCAGCGATAAATGCGCGGGATGCGCAGCTGAGGAAGGGGATGAAGCTGATGTCTAACATAGTCGGCCTCACGATTCTTCAGCTCTTCCTCAACTACTTGTGCAACGAATGAGTTCGAGCTAATCGGGATTGCGCGGATCGAGTTCGAGCTAATCGAGTTTTTTGTTTCTAGCTGTAAAATAATGTACATGAGCACCAGCTGGTCCTAGGCCTTGGCGGCAGGACGAGGAGCGACCAGACTCGTCGATCCCACGTGAACCCGCAGGGCACAAGGTGTGCCGCAGAGAGGAAGAGGAGGAGAGGAGGGAGACGAAGAGGTGGACGAGGAGGACGAGGAGGGAGAGGAGGAGGAGGAGGAGTGTGTCGCGACTTCGAGCATACCGCTCATGATGACGTCGAGCTTGCAGCCAGCGAGGGCCTTGGCAAGCTTCAGGTTGGTGATGCCCTCCTGCTCCTCCCGCGGCCCCGCTGCTCGTTTCTTGAGTCGATTTCTGAATCGCTGACGCGCCTTGAGCTCGCTCTTAGAGAGGATGGACGTCATCTCAAGCGCCGGCAACGACGTTGCTCCCTCCTCTTGCTGCTTGAACCGCATCCAGCTCTTGCTGAACAACTTGCTGCTCAAGCTCTTCTCCCCAGCGTCCTCCTCTCCTCTGCTGCTCAGCTCGCAGCTCGGAGGGATGGTGAGACTGTCCTTCTTCCTAGCCTCCAGTCTGTATCTGATGTAGAGGAACCCGTCCTCGTCCTTCCTCTCCTTGTACAGACTTCCCATGCTCGCGCTCTTTTGCACGGTTTCATTGCCGCAGAAGAGCACGACCCTGTGGTTTCTGTCCAGCTCAATCCTGGAAGCGATCGCCTTGCTCACCTGCCCTGCCGTTGTCTCGCATGACAACTTCACGCGATTGCGCAGGGGGAGCAGGCCAGGCAGTTCATTTTCTGAGTCCAGGATCACGGGGACTTTGTTGGGCGAAGACTTCATGATCTTGGAGGACTCGCAGATCCTGTAGTCAAGGGCGTGCTCATGCTTGAAGGGAGAGGTTGCTGTGACCTGCATGATCATGGTTGAAGATCGTGGGCGCTGCTATTTGATCCCGAGCAAGTGGATCAGATGCAAATGATCTGTAGGAGATCGAAGGTAGATGGAAGGGAAGGAAGCAACGAAGACGAGGAACAGTCAGGGAGGCTGAGGAGGAAGAGGAAGACTGAGGTAAGTGTGGGAGGAAGAGGATGGGGATGAAGCAGCTGCAGGAGGAGGAGGAGGAGGAGGAGGAGCTACGCGCACTTTGCTCCCGCCGCCATGGCCGCCTTCCTTTTCTTTTTGTGTTCTAAATCGGGAGAAAAGTTATAACGTTTTAAAATGTTAGCTTTTATAATTGGGAGCCGGTGATGTTGGCTGACCAGCGCTGCATGCGACCCGGGCGGGCAGCCCCGGCGGCCACAAGGATGCAGGAGATGAGGGAGGGAGGGAGGGAGGGAGGGAGAGGAGAGGATGAGAGAGGGGAGGGGAGGGGAGGGGGAGAGATACATTACCTTTGTAGGAGAGATAGATTCAAGACTCAGGCAGGGGGGAGGAAGAGGTGTGCAGTCAAGTGATGGAGGGCAAATCAAAGATGTTGAACAGAAAGGATGCTAGTGTCTGATGTTGTCTATCACAGAACAAGAGAACGGAGGATGTCAGAAGCACAAGCAACAACTGAAGAGACCTCTCATCCATCTTCAGGGGCAGCGGATTCTCTGGTCCCCTTTCTCCCTTTCTTCCCTCCTCCCTCCCTCCTCCCTCTCTCTCTGTCCCTCCGTCCCTTTCTCCATCCTTTTCCTCTCTCTCCCGCTCCCCCTTTCATGCGCTTCTTCTGACCGATCATTCAGATTCCTGATTTCGAGGATCTCAAGATCTGTGTTCGTGAGATCAGAGAGCAGCAACCAGACATCGGGGTCGCCAAGGTGAAAGATAGACCTACACATCCCTCCTCCCTCCTCCCTCCTCCCTCCTCCCTCCTCCCTCCTCCCTCCTCCCTCCTCCCTCCTCCCTCCACCCTCCCTCCTCCTCCCTCCTCCTTCCTCCTCCCTCTCCCCTCCTTCCCCCTCTTCTCTCCTCCTCCGTTTGCATCTCAGCGTCGTCCAGGTGCATGCGGCAGTGAAGGAGAAGAATCCCTCCTGGCAGGTGAGAACGACAAGTGGAGCAAAAGTTGGGGAGGAGGAGCCAGGAGCCAGGAGCTGTGCATGAGCTAGTAGAGGCAAGAGATGGGGGAGCAGGAGCAGGAGCAGGAGCAGGAGCAGGAGCAGGAGCAGGAGCAGGAGCAGGAAGTCGATGGGTTGTCGTTCACAAGGGCTGAAGGTCTCACAAGATCGAGTGAAGAAGATCCTCGCAGACATGGTGAGGTTGAGCTCTTCGCTTCTCCTTCATGACCATGACAGGTCGTGATCACCGACGGGAAATTGAAAAAGGGGCGGTGAGCAAAACCACCTTCTTCTTCTTCC